ACGTTAACATTTGGGCCCTTACCTATTCCTCAAAGCTTGAATTAGTCTCATCATTACTGTAGACGTGGTGAGTCAAAATTTTGTCACACTGCCTCGTGCCATTAACTAGCGGCATAGGGATGGCGCGAATAATAGCGTAATTTTACAAGTTTAATGTTGTTGAGTTGTAAGTAAAGTCGAGATACTTCGAGTTTAACTGCATGCTTGCCTAAGCCTAAAGTATTACGACAACCATCCGATGTACAGGTCGTACTGTGTTCCGCTCGCCAAATCTATACATAGCAACCACTGTATATCCCTGTAAAAAATAGTCCATAGATCCTTGCAGTTCCCGGGTCCCATATGTAATGGCATCCTGCATTCCCACGAACAGCGAGGTGTCTAATTCGGATCCAATAGAGCAAGGCCGCTCGGGAGCGAATAGTGAAATAGATCTCGCGGGCACTAATGTCAAACCTAGCCCAATAGCTTTAGATGACATCATCGTTGAAACGCACCGACTAAATCACAAGAAACTTGTTTAATTCTCCTCGATAGTACAGTACGCCAGGGGTCTGACACTTTCGGCGTTGACAAAGTACGAATTTTCCGTTCTTAAAATATACACCTACACCATGACGGGGCCATGTTTCTTTAACTTAGGAAGCTAAACGGGTGTAGTCAGCGGATGTATGAAAGCTCTCAAAAGGTTCAGAGAATCTATGGCAGAACAAGACCTACGATAAAAATTCGAAGAGATCCAATCCTGCTAGGAATGACATTAGTTATCTAAGGGTACCACTCTGGTACAGCGTGACAATTTAGTAAGATTCCTCAGTGGTCCAAATGCTAAATCTGAGAATAACGCTAGAATATTTTGTTGGTTTCTCAATTTTTGAGTAGTTTGGTTCGTAAATGCATCGTTTTAATGGCAGTCCAATACACAACTGATTGGCCTGATCTTCATGTTACACCTCAACTTCTAAAAATTCGATTTAGACTATACAGAGATACTTGGAAAACGCTTCCGCTCAATCTAGCATACCGGTTGTCGGCTCAGCGTCAAAATTCCCCAAGTAGTTTCAACGCTGTTCTTTGTGAGCATTTGGTACAAATTTATTTGGGTAGGGAAGCATTACACAATCCTACGTTAGTCATGCGCGGGACATTGTAAGGACAGCTTGGGTCCCATGCAGGCTGGTGCCGATAAACGGCTCTTTAAGCCACGACTTTCATGACGTTGTAGCAGACTCGGACGCGTTAGTTCTATTCGTGAGAAATGTACTGATTCACTGTGAGGGTGGATGCAACAGTGTAAGCCTAAGTTGCTATGTTTTCACTACGCCCCGGCTTGAACGGTTCGTCTAAACGTGCCACACGTAACTTGGTGTACGTGAATCTGTCAACAAACTGTTGGTGAGTCCCATTCACGCTGATGTTTGGCTTCGCCGCATTGATGGTCACCCCTAAGTTTGTATAAATGAAAACAGAAGCACTCGTTTGCTGAATGCCCATTATTGTAAAGTCAGGTGCGCAATTATCCACAAATAGGACACCATGAGCAGTGGTAGTGGATATCTGCATGGTTGACAAATGTTATGCAACTGTTCCTCAGTTCGATTACCAACGTCTGGTTGCTTTTCACCATAGGCATCCATCAGCACGAGTGAAGAGGTTGGTGGTGAGTGCACAACGCTACTTTATCTCACTTGTCATTACGAATGCTTCCGTTGTGTAGTATTCTTACCATGAGGTCGAGTGAGAAAACGATGTCACATGTGTTACTGTGAATCGAATCTAACAAATTCCGAAAAATACTACGGACACAGATATACAACAGTGTCGTCGCTTAAATGCATGGACAGCTAAACGATAGGAGACCGGATGGAATTATAGGAAAACCGTTAAAGAAATAGGTAAATATGAAAACAGTAGTTTTCTTACTTTCGGTTGTGGATTTCCCGCCCCAAACCACTTTAGCATCATCGCCTTTGCTAGGGGCGTCCAAGCTATCGGTAACCGCCTGTTCTTGTTCTGTTTTTACCGAAA